CAAAGCAAATCCTAAATGCTCCCTCCCAACAATGCCTTGGCACCTCTACAAAGGCTGCTAAAGCACACAGGGGAGCTGCAGCTTTATCCTGAGGCTGTTTGAGCTTCTAAGGCTTGGGATCAATCGAGCCTGGAAGAAAAACGTCACTGAGGCATCGCTGCTCTGATTAAGGACTCCCTCCTGCCTGCCTACCCTGGCTGACCACGGGGCTTCCACGAACACCTTCCTTCCCTCCTTTTCACCTCCACTTCTCCTGCAGTCAAGGAACACTCTTTTTAATGGCCCACGAGAACAACTACAGAAGAATCCAGAAGCACAGCCCCTCCTGACCTGTTCCACTGGGCCACATCGAGCTCAAGTGATGACGCACGATCTTCCCGCTGCCTGAGGGGAGCGTTTTGAAAAGAGGGCACATTGCTGAGCTCACTTTGTAAAGCAGAGAACCCTGGGGAAGGCTCCAGCCACTTCAGAAGGGCTCTGGCTAAAATACACCTATAAAGATAGCAAGACTCCAGCTGGAGGTGGATGATGGGCTCTGAATATATTTAAACCCCAGGGGCAAACTTAGAATTAAAAGAAAGATGCAGAAAAAAAAAAAAAAAAAACAACCTCTTGCTGTTTTTCAGCATGCCAAAGGTTGTCTCACAGTTCAGCCCCCACAGCTCCCAAGCAATTTCTCAGCACAATTTCCATCAGCTCCAGCAGGTCTAAATTTCAAGTTAGAACTCTAAAAACTCTCTCTCTCGGCTCGGGAGAGGCAAAGCTAATCTAGGAAACGCGATCCCAGCTCTGCAGCGACGTTAGAACATCTCTGTGATCTGTTCACAGGCTCTGAGCTCTCGCTGCTGCCTCGACGCTGCTTTGCAGTGCCAGGAATCGTGAGCTGCTTCCCTGTCCTACTTTCCAGAACCGAAGGCAGGGATGAAAATAGAAAGAATCAATTTCCTTTCGCTCCTGCAAGGCTGGAAAGCTTCGAGCGGCACCGGCAGCGACGCGGAGGCTGTCGGAGAGCAAATGCTGGGGCTGGCAGAGTGCCCTGAGGGCTGTGCTGGAGAGCTCCGGGCACCAGGGCTGAGAAAACGAAGGAGAAGTTTGGCACCACGGGCCACTCCCATTGGGAATGTCCAGGATGCCACGTCCGGAGCGAATCAAGGTTTAGACGCTTCCCTGAGCAGCCAGACGATGAAGATTTGGCTTGTGCAGACTGAGCAGGATCTGGAAGTCAACATCTGTCATTTCTGGGCACACACTCTGGAATTTTGGCTGTTATCTATACCTGAGATCAGACTCCCCATCCTCACCCACCTGCTTCAGCCCTCGGAATAACCTGGGCTCCAGTGGGGCCCATGGAAGGTCCCAGCAGAGCAGAATTCTGTCCCAAAGCAGCTGGTCAGGAGGGGAGACAAAACAGAGGACAAGCACATGGAGCTTCCCTCCCTGCCATTTTTCCAGACTGTCCATCACAGCTCAAGGAACTGGAATCACTGCCTGGACTAACAGAGCATGACTTCCCTCATTTCACACTGTTGTTCTTGGCCAGCACCACCCACGTCCTACAGTTTCCTTGCCCATCAGGTAATATTTTCTTACAGTGCATTCCAGGGTTGGAACCCTCTCTGGATCCCCTACAAACACAGCATGGCTGGGGGAAAGGCTGCAGGGTGAAGTGCATCCACCAAATCCTACAATTAAAAGGGTTCTTCACCCTTGACAAGAAACAGGGTAACTGAGAAGGGAGCTCAAGCCCAGGAACTGCCCAGTTCTTGGCTGTTAATTTACACACCATTCAGGCTCTGTGGGATCTGCCAAGAGGATCACAAAAAACCCCAGTTATCCCTGGCGTGTCATTCCTCTAAGAGGGACACTCAGAGGACAAGCACCAATGTTTGACTATTATCCAGCAGGTGAGACTCATAACTGACCCTCCCCAGGCAGTGGAGGAGCATGGAGGGTTTCACAGAGGCAGACTGGCTGTTTTTCCTCCCTAAAAGGTGGTTTTCTCCTCTGCAGAGGACCAGGAGGGAAATCCTCCACCACAGTGCTGCATCACCAGCCAGCTCCTGCTACCCAGTCAGTTATTTCAGAACTATTGCACCTGCTATCCCTTCATTACTTTATTACTTCTGGTTGAATGGGGAAAACAACATCATAAACCTGTGTATAAATCACTCCACCAGAATAACAGCTGTGAAAATAGGACAGAGAGAATTCATTTGGCCCATCCTTCTGCTCTGCACTAAGCATCTCTTCAATGATCATTTTAAGAGAGGTTATAAAAACAAGTAACCATCTTTTAGTCTTTCCAGGGAGCAGAATCAGCTTTTTCTCACCACCCAACTGCTGCCCTTTCAGTTCAGTCCCAGTTCCAGTATCATGAGCAGCTTCTGCCCTTTCTAGCAGAAGACAACTTTACACATCTGAAAATAGCTCCCACATCTTCCCCTAACCTTCCCCAGGCTTTTTTTGTCTTTCTAGGGCAGTATTTCCACCCAGCACTCAGCAGCCTTTCTGTCCTCCAAGACCCCTCCTTTGCTCTGCCTTCAAAGGTGCTGCCAAAGCTTTTCCAGCATCAGGGAGAATGTCAGGGTTTCTTCCCTCCAAAAAGCCTTTCATGAACAGAGTTTATTTTTTTTGCACCTGCCTGACACTGTGCTGGCATGGGCAGCTTTTGATTCTCCAATGCCTGGATTCTTTTTCTCAGGAACAGCCACCCAGTCCCTGTCCCCTGGATGCAATTCAGGAGTTTTCAGCTCAAACATTTCTCTCCAGTAAAACCCTTTAAAAGTTGACTCTCTATGTTCTACTTACCTCCAAACTTTCTAACCTGTTGTGGAATGAGATGAGCTTTAAGGTCCCTTCCACCCCAAACCAAGGCACAAGGACTCTGAAATCTTATACAAATATTGTATTTCAAGTTCCTAAGACAATCTGAAGGCATTAACTGCACAGATCACCTACATACAGTCTATCTTATGCTCCTCTTTCTATTTCTAGTGCTGGTTCTAAAATAACCCCACAGGAAAAAAAAAAAAAATCTAAGTTCTCACATTTTTTGTACCAGTTTAACATCTACTTAGAATTTGGAGACCTCAAACAGCAGCACGAATGTGTTTCTCTAACAACCTTTTTTGCAACACAGTTCCTTAAAATATCTATTTTAGCATTTCTGTTTCATTGCAACTAATTAGCCACCCTATATGCAAGTCTAGAGAAAAACTAATTCCATCCTGAAAAAGGTCAGGAATTCGAGGCTGTGTTCTTCAGACACAGGGAGACATTTGAATTCTCTTACAAATAAATGTTTTGATTTGTACTATAAATGTAACACTCAAGCTCAACTTGAACTGCAAAGCAAAGAGATTCACAGCTCCACAGAGATCACTCTTCAGAGGGGAAAACAACTCTGCCAGCTGGCAGAATAGGAAGGGGGAAGAGAGAGAAAAGAGACACTGAAATAAATTCTTGCCCCAGATAAAAAGGCAGAATTAGAACCCAACCTTTGTGCAGAGCAGCCTTCAAGGCACTGCTCAGTGTTTGGGCCAGGTTGGAGCAACCTGGGCTAGTGGAAGGTGTCTATGCCCATGGCAGAGGTGGAATGAGATGAGGTTTAAGGTCCCTTCCAACCAAACCCACCATCCTGCTAATTTACAGTCTCCATGTTTATTATTAACACTGAAATCCCCCCCTGTGCAAGCAGGAAGGTGGGGTTAAATTCTCCCTGGCTCCTTTCCTCCCTTCTGGATCAGTCCCAAGGAGAGGGAGAGTTGAAAGGGCCATCCCAGAGAGGAGGTCACACTGTCCTACCCAGTGTGGGGGTAGTTCTGTGCAGGGGTGACACCTGCTCCCAGTTCACCAGCTGGGCAGGAAACCTCTGACATTAAACAGAGAGGAATGGACTCAGAGGACTGTTCAGGTGAACTCCAGGGACCAGAACTGCCTTAACAGCCCCCAAGAGAAGGTCAGAAACACTGAAGCAAAAACGATTCTTACAGGGAAACCAGGAAAATTATTTTTCATTGACATAACTCCTGAACACCTGATGAAACTCAAAATGATGAAATTATCCTGGCAATAACACAGACAAAAACCCCAAACTTTTGGTAACCTGAAAATGCATGAACGCAGGCTTTATATTATACAGTTAAAAAATAATTTTAAAAGTTATTATAGGTCCTAGGAAAGCAAAAGAATGCAAGTATTTTAATTAGGTTTGTTATTCTTGTAGGGGGGTATGTGTTTTTTATGAAATCTAGTAAAAAAAGTCTATGTCTTAAAGACAGTAGAAAGAAAAATCCGAAATAATTTGAAGTAACAGCATTAAAGAATTGCCTCTAAGGCCAGTGCAATGATTTAGTGCTTAGTTTAATGTCCCTGATGCACTTAAGGACCAAAGAATTAAATTTCAAGTCCGTCAGTCTCCAGATTTGCAGGGGAGAGGTATAATGTCAAATGAATTAAAGGAGATGGATGAGTTGATGGATTCAAAGGGAGCAATCACAGTCTTTACGACACAGACAGCTCTGGCAGTTGCAGAACGAGGATTGACAGCCTAAAAATGGCAGGAAGAGGGAAACCAACCCCCAAATATCAAAGCTCTGGAGATAAAGGTACACAGAAACAAGTGCTGACCTGGAGCCCCAGTGGGGAGGATGAACCAGCAACAACAATTTAAAGTGATTGCAGGAGTCAAACTTCCATTTCCTCTCAGCAGCACAGAGTGGTTTCCACTCTGCTAAACATGCACATCCTGCATTTAAGCAGAAGTTCTTCCAGAGAGCCAAGCCAGCCCTGCAATAAAAGCTGCTCCAGTTGATCAGGAGACAGAGGAGGGAAAGCTGGTGGGAGTCTGGGCTGGCTCCGCTCCGGCAGCCGAGGAGAACGCAGCGTTTGCTCAGCACGCATCAGTCAAGCGGCAAACCCAGAGGAGTCTGTGCTAAGGGGGAGTTTGAGCCTCTCAGGCATCTTTGAGACAGACAGAGCAATACTTTTAATGCTCTTACCTGGGGGAATTTGCGTTTGATGGATATCAGGGCTCCCTCCGGCAGCTTGGCCAGCTCGGAATCCCGGACAGCGTGCACCGTGGTGGCTCTGGGCTGGTGGGTCAGGGCCTCCACCTGCAAGGGCACAGCCAAAGCATTACCAACAGCACTACCAACTCACAGCAGGCTGCAGAAATCAAATGTCAGCGTGAGGAGACCGAACCATCCCCAGGAACCGTTCGCTCCGCTCGCACACAGAGCCCTGTTCGCCCCACGACCTGCCCCGGGCAAATTCACCCCAAAGCTCTCAGGAGAGCCCTCTGCCATGGGACAGCTGCAGTTTCTCCACAGATCCAGAACCCCCAGCCCCAGAGAGATGGTATTACAAGGGAAAGTTTGGTGTGAGCTCTGGCAGCGTCTCCAGAGGCACCGAGTAAGCTCAGCACCACAACAAGGCTGAGCTCCTCATCCACCAGTGGGGATGGTGATGAAGCCATCCAAGAGCCAGGAACACCCCCCTTCTCTGCTGCTCACTCTTGCCTCAGCACCACCCTGAAATACCTCCATTTTCCCCCTGGAGGCTGAATTCCAACAACCTTGAAATAATCAACACTTCCTAAAAATTAAACAGAGGGGTGAGACCAGACTGAAAGGGCTCAGAGCAACCTGGGCCAGTGGAAGGTGTCCCTGCCGTGGGTTGGAATGAGGTGAGATTTAAGGTCCCTTCCAACCCAAACCAGTCTGGCATTCTAGGGGCAAATCAGCACATTTTGGCCAGAAGTGAGTGTTGCTTTTCCATTAGTTTTTATTTTTTTTTACACATACATGTGCACCTGGGATGTGTTAAACAGGGATCCCAGAATGGTTCAGGCTGGAAGGAACCATTGGAGAGCATTCCAGACCCAGCTCCCTGCTCAAGCTCCTGGAGCAGTCACAGACTGTGCCCAGACAGGTTTTGTGCATCTCCAGTGCTACCTGCTCAGTGCCCAGTTATTTCACCCAGAAAAATTTCTTTTATAGAGAGCAGAAGTTTGAATAAGATGGTGACACAATGAGAATTATTAACAGGATGCTCTCCTTTATGGGGAAAACTTGGGTTCAAAAAGCAAAATGCAGCTGCCCCCCTCCCAGAGCCCCAGACCTGCCACTGCCTCTTGTGTTGGTTGGAAATGCAGAAATCCAGTTCCCTGGGGAAATATCTTCCCATGGCTCGTGAGTTTTCCTGCCAGGAGAGATGGAGTCACGGGGAGCTCAGGCCTGAGCTACAACATTTAATTGCTGAGGAACAGCCTGGTGCTCTGTTTTGGGAGTTCTGGCAGCAGGCAATGTTTACTGGGCTTAAAATCCATAGATCAGCCATTTCAAAAAATAAATGGTTGTCACTGTAGTAGCTGTAATTACTGAGGTTAAAACACAAACAGAAAAATCCCTCCCCAACTACAATTCACAGGCACTTCGAATCCAAGTCAACATGACTTTGCATTTTTAATTTTCCAGTAGAAAAAAGACAAATAATTTATCAGCTTAAAGCTGTTTAAAGGTTGTTTAGGGGTTAGGGGTGGTGGTGGTTTTATTTCTTTGATTGATTTGGTTGGTTTTGGTTTGTTGTTTTGTTTTTTTTTTTTTCCAGAATTTCCTCCAAAGCTTATGTTGGCACCAAATTCCTACACAAGCAATTAATTCCTTACAGAACTAAGGGCTCAGACATACAAAATGAACACTGTGTATAATAACATAACAATAAAATAATATAATAGTAATATAATAATGTAATAAGACCTTGTGCAAGGGCTGAGCTGGGCAGGTGCCCAGGTTTCCTCTGCTGTTCCCAGTACAAACCCAATTTCAAACATGCAACTCTGTGACCCCAATTCCACCCCAAGTGCCTTTTTGGAAGGCTCAAAACAGACAATCCAGCCAACCAGAACATCTAGAGCTCAAAACCTTGCCATTAGTCCAGAAAGCTGAGATGAACCTGCCAATATGAACTTGAATTTCTCCAGCACCGACTGCTCTGCACAGAAAACTGCACATTTAAAGCACCTCCTTTTTTGCAAGCCCCAGCCTTTGTTTTTTTAGCTCAGGTGCCAGGGATGTTTTGTTGTGTCATCACATTTTAAACTAATTATATAGAAGAGGGAGGGAAAAAAAAATCATCTTTGTACAGACATTTATGCAGAAACAAACCCCCTTCAGGTTCCCCAAAGGGTTGTAGAAGATCTTCTGTTTCATCTCTCTCTCCCCTATTACCAGCTTTTTATGGCAGTTTTTTGGCTCTGTAATTTACCTTCCTGCTCCTGAAAGCAGGTTAAGAGTTTCAGCTGTGAAAATAAAACCTTTCCTCCCAGCCAGGCACCACCTGAGCGAGTTTAATTTGTACCAGGCAAGAAAAAACACTCAAAGTGCCCGACATCCTTCGCCACAATTTCTGTGATTTATGAGTGCATAAAATTAACTGTGCTCCAAGGGGCTCCCAGGCCCTTCAGAAAAGATGAAATTTGTAAATTTGGAGAAGAGGGAATTAAAGTTTAACCTTAAGCACAGCCTCGGGGGAGGGTTTTTATCCTCCAAACTGTAACTTTGTCTTTTCCACAGAGCAGAGGCCACACAGAGACCTTTTCCAAACCTCCTTCCCACAGAGCCACTCAAAGCTCCAGAGCAAGTGGCATTTGCAGCACCACTCGTGCTCTGGACCCCTGCAATTGCTGGGAATTTGCTGGATGCCATTCCCAAGTAATTACAGAAAGTGGATCTTGTACTATTCTTATACAGAGGTACTATGTGAGTCTTTGATATTTTTATTGAAATACACCCCAATATTCCAGCATGGAAAATATCTGGGTCCCAGGCACTTGCACAGTAAGAAATTCAAACTGTGCTCTCCTCTTTATTGTTATCATCTCAGCTCCCAGTCTCTGAATTTATTAATTATCCCAATTATCTATTTAATAATTACCCCAGAGAGTTTGTGGCTCCCTGGAAGTGTCCAAGGGCAGGTTGGACGGGGCTTGGAACAACCTGGGCTAGTGGAAGGTGTCCCTGCCCATGGCAGGGGGGTATTTGGGAGGAGCTTTAAGGTCCCTTCCAACCCAAACCATTCCACAATTCCATGCTCTGATAAAATACTTCCTCTTCCCTGGAAATCCAAGGGCTCTCATGTGCCATTTGGACCATCTGTAGGATTATTCTCAACCTTCACTGCATTCTCCCCTCTTCACACCCTGTGGTTTAGAGCCTTCTTTGCACTGGTTTTACATTTCCTGCACAAATCCAATTGGTGTTCGACTATTCTCACCTTTTTTGGAGATCAAAACCATGTTAACATTGACTCAAAGTTCTCCCTCTGAAAATGATACTTTTCTACCTTGTATTTATTCTCAATATCCCATTTGAGGTGTCAACTATTCAGAGACTTTTATTCTTGCTTAGGAAAAAAAAAGTTTCATGTAACATGACTATTTAAAATCATTTCAGTCTTAAGTCACATTTGAATCCTTGGGCTCCTCTGCCCAGTGATCAAGTTTTCTTGTTTTTCCAGCTTTGTAAATAGCATAATACTCAGAGATCTGGCTTGAACTTTAATAAGAATAAAATCCACTTATGATCAGAAGCTCAACCCCCATAAAATTATTTCCCGGATCATAAAAAGAGCAATTTAACATTCTGATCACCCACCACAGCTGCAGCAAACACCACAAAACCACCTCCACAACAACATTCATAAACAAATGTCTGAAGAAACAGCACCATTATCTTCCAGATCTTATTTAACCTGACTGGGGAGAGCATTTATTTATATATTTGGTTTCATAATCACCCAAGGCTCTCTTTTGAGCTCCTTCCCAGACTACCATTAACAACACTCATCCCTGCCAGCCCAAACTCAGCCACAGCATTTGCTCCGTGCAAAGGGGAGCCAGTGACTCTCTCCCACTTCTTCTCAAGCTCAAGCCAACAGGATCACTTTTGCTCCAGGCAGTTGTACTGCTCTGCTCTTCTCATTTAACCTCCACTCCCCCTCCTCAGTTACAAGCCTTAAACTCGTCCCACCTCACTGCCCATTCTGGGGCTTCCCTTCCCGCTGTTCCTCCTCCCTCCCTCACCCAGTGCTGAGTGCTGAACCCACCACCCCTTCTGCTCCCCCTGCCACCTTGTTTGAGTCATAAAACTCAGCAGATCTCCATTACAGGGCTGTTCCCACTGGGAAATCCATCCCTCTGCCCCCCTGCTGGGCTCTATTTCAGCAGCCCTACACAAATGTTCCGTGTTCCATTCACTGCTCCGTCATCTCCAAGGTTGAGCCTTCGGCCCCACATTCACAGAGGCAGCAAGACCCCTCTCTGCCTCCATCCCACCCTCAGGAATCTGTCATCCATCACTGCCCTGGCTTCCATTCCCTCCAGTTCGAGGGCATTGCACAGGAAGCAACGTCCCAAATGCTGGGACAGTTTGAATCAGGGAGCACAGAACAATTTCCCCCCCAAAAAAACCTCTACAAATAGACCTCTGCTGTTTGCACTGCTTCAATTAATTCTGACAGGTTGGGATTCTGAGCAACCTGGTCTAGTGGAAGGTGTCCCTGCTCGTGGCAGGAGGTGGAACTGGATGAGCTTTAAGGTCCCTTCCCACCCAAACCAGTCTGGAATTCCAGGATTCTCACACCTTCTCTTAGTTCAGTATTAAATAGTGACAAAACCAGGTTTGCTGCCTCCATCCTGTACAAGGCACATGATTCACAATCCTGGCTTACGAGTTCTTCCCAAAGAAAAAGTGTTACTGTAAATCTTCCAAAGGGAGGGGAAAAGCAATTTATATTCTCGTGACCTCCTCTGACTTCATTTCCAACACTCATTCCTGACAGTTCTTACAGCTTTCCAAGTTACAGTTGGAAAGTAAAAACCGGCAAGTGGCATATTCTGCAAGTTGGTCTAATTACTCAAAATTCCTTTCTGAGCTACATCCAACAAACCCTTTGAATATTTGCCTTTGTGTGCACAGCCTGAGTGAAACACAGCCCTTCTCCTGCTCAGCCTCCAGCACCTCTGAGACCTCATGGAGGGCTCAAACCAGATCTGCTGGCACGAAAACCTCGCTTCTTGGTGCAAATTCAGCCTCCCTTGAACAAACTGTTGGGT